GTTCAAAAGTTAAGAAATAAATAAAATAGGCATGTAAGAAGCTATTTTTGCTTGAAATGGCTACATTTTGAGGATATGGACCCATAAACTTAGAAATAAGCTTATTTTATGTGATTTCAAGTCATAATATCTTATAAAAATGTAATTATGAGATGGTTTGAGAAATAATGAGTTTAAAAGTTATGAAATAGACAAAATAAACATGTAAGAAGCCATTTTGGCTTGAAATGGCTTCATTTTGAGGATATGGACCCATAAACTTAGAAATATGCTTCTTTTATGTGATTTCAAGTCATAATATCTTATAAATATGTGAATATGAGATGGTTTGAGAAATAATGAGTTCAAAAGTTAAGAAATAAACAAAATAGGTATGTACGATGCCATTTTTGCTTGAAATGGCTTCATTTTGAGGATATGGACAAATAAACTTAGAAAATTGTTTCTTTTATGTGATTTTTTGTCATAATATCTTATAAATATGTAAATATGATATGGTTTGAGAAATAATGAGTTCAAAAGTTAAGAAATAAACAAAATAGGCATGTAAGAAGCCATTTTGGCTTGAAATGGCTTCATTTTGAGGATATGAACCCATAAACGTAGAAATTTGCTTCTTTTATGTGATTTCAATTCATAATCTCTTATAATTATGTAAATATGATATGGTTTGAGAAATAATGAGTTCAAAAGTTAAGAAATAAACAAAATAGGCATGTAAGAAGCCATTTTGGCTTGAAACGACTTCATTTTGAGGATATGCACCCATAAACTTAGAAATTTGCTTCTTTTATGTGATTTCAAGTCATAATCTCTTATAACTGTGTAAATATGAGATGGTTTGATAAATAATGAGTTCAAAAGTTAAGAAATAAACAAAATAGGCATGTAAGAAGCCATTTTCGTTTGAAATGGCTTCATTTTGAGGATATGGACCCATGAACTTAGAAATATGCTTCTTTTATGTGATTTCAAGTCATAATCTCTTATAACTATGTAGATATGAGATGGTTTGAGAAAGAATGAGTTCAAAATTTAAGGAATAAACAAAATAGGCTCGTATGAAGCTATTTTTGCTTGAAATGGCTTCATTTTGAGGATATGGACCCATAAACTTAGAAATATGGTTCTTTTATGTGATATCAAGTCATATTCACTTATATGTTTATTTTTTTTACTTGTAAATTATGTTGTTGGTAAATTATTAAAATCATATATAATTGTATAATGTATTTTTTGTAGGAGACGTACTAGAAGAAGGTTGAAGAAGCCACCACTCATGGGATTTAAAAGACTCCTAATTAGTTGTATTGGGAGGCTGTGGTTGGTCGCAACAAGAAGGTCGGGTGAGGGGACTTGGCCAAGGTGCAGAGTTGTACTATGGCGACCGGATGGGTCGAGTGTCTAGGTCTTCACAACAATACACAACGTCTGTTGTTTCTCAGATGCAGGATCAGATGGAGCATAGGGCTGAGGCTCTTTGTAGTGAGATCCGCAGTGAACTCCGGAGTGAAATACAGAGTGAACTTCGGAGTGAAATGGAAGTTGAGATGGAAGCTCGAATTCAAGCTGAAGTGGCCGAAATAGAGAGGAGAGCCGAGGAGAGGTGGAATGACTTCATGAGACGATTCGGCAACAACGACACATGTTCCACCATTCAGCCTCAGCGTCGAGACCCTAGGGATGAACCGGGTAGTGGAGGAGCAAGCCAGGGTACCCCTGTAGTTTTTTAGCCTAGCTTAGGTTTATGTAGTATGGACATGTACTTAATTTGAATTTATATAGCGTTTGATTATGTTCCCGCTTTTGTAGAACTTACTATATATTATGTAGCTTTTGGATATGTTCTACTTAAGCATATATCTTTTGTGAAAATATATTTATTAATATTTCCGTAATTCGATTATGATTTTAATTATCACAGGTATTAGGTGCAGGAACATACGCTATTAATGATATTTTTTATTATTGAAATCTATTGGATTGTGTTAGAAATGAAAAAACAATTTTGCGACGGAAAAATAAGTGATAATGGTTGGAAAAATAGAATTTGCGACGAAGAAAAGGAAAAAATCGGTCGAAATTTTACAATTTGCGACGGAAAAAGGGCAGATAATCCGTCGGAATGTGCTGTACTTCGCGACGAAATATGGATCCGTCGCTAGCTAGCGACCGAATTTTCCGTCGTAAGCTAGCAACGGATTTATTTTCGTCGCAAGTTTCATATTCAGCGACGGATAATTTTCGGTCGTAAAGCTTGATTTGCGACAGAATTTTCCGTCGTTGTGGTCATTCCAACGACGGATTTTTCCGTCGTAAATTTGCGACGAAATATTCACAAAAGTCAAATAATTTCTGACAAATTATTTTCGGTCGGAAAATCCATCGGAATACCCTTTTTCGACGGAATTTTCCTCGAAAAAACATGTTTTTCCTACCAACTGTTTTCCGATGGAACTCAACGACGGAATTCCGTCGCAAACGTGTTTTTCGACGGATTTCCAAACTTCAGCGACAGATATTTTCGGTCGGAAACAGGCCATTTTCTTGTTGTGGATAGGAGCTCACTGGGTTCCCTTGTGCACATGCTTGGGCTGTGATGATAAAGAAAAGATCCAGGCCAGAGGACTTTGTGGATGACTTCTACATCAAGGACAGATACCTGGAGGCATACACTCCAAGTATCAAACCAATGCTTGGTATGAAACAATGGGAAAAGAGGACTAATTTGATGTAACCTACACCACCTGTCATGAGAAAAATGCCTGGGAGACCTTCCCTTAAGAAAAGGAAACAAGAACAAGGTGAAAGGGAAGGAGCTGAGTCATCCCAAAAGCCGAAGAAAGTACCAAAGTGCTCTAACTGTGGAGTCCCCGGCCATTACAGGAACAAGTGCAAGAACACAGCACCACTAAAAGAGGTTGATAAAGGTGGCAGACCTCCATCAATGGAGCTTTGGAATGTACTTCAAAGAAAGAAAAATTGGGACAGATTTGTGAAAAAGGTATGTGAAGATTAAAGTTGGCTTGTACATTGTTTGATTACTTTTTATGAAATGTTCTAATAAGGTTTGTGTTGTGTCTTTCTGTGTCAGGGCAAGAATAGCCCTGAAACTGGGGCATTCACATCCCAAGCTGCTCCTAGTCAGGCAAGCTCACAAGGTGTAGCTCCACCACAACCAAGTCAAGAAACCCAGCCCTCCCAATCTCAACCTCAAAGAAGTGTCACAATGAAGTCCAAGGCAACACCTTCAATAGCCAAGTTACCAATTAAGTCAAAATTGAAGAATCAGCCAGTGTGGAAGCCCTAGATTAGATTTATGTGCTTTGGTTATGTTCTGGATTTTGTGTTAGTTATTTTCTGTTTTTGTGAACAATCTTTCTATATTTAGTAGGGATACATGTACTTCAACCTTGAATTAGATTAATGTAGCCTGTTTTTTATTAAGTGATGATGAACAAATCCACTTAGCCTTTGTAATTATTTTGGAACTTGAAATGCAAGGCTTTTTTTATTATAATTGTGCCCAAATTATGCCAAATTTTGGCATTGCAAAAGGAATTGTTCAAAGCATAATTTCATTTCATGTTAATGGCAATAATACAACCTACATAGATAAAGGTTAGCATTTGCACTTTGCTTACATTCCAAAATCTGTGACATATGCCACTTATACAGTGCAAATGTAATACCAATCATTACTAAATTGCCTACTACATCATTGTCTTCCCTAAATAACCTAACATCATTCCAATTACAACAACTACTACCAGCTGCATTAGTTCTGAAATGCCACCACAGTCACCTGCCTTTGCTTTCTTCATAGCAGCAGAAAGTGTCTTGCATTTCTTGGTCAATCTCTCTTTTTCACTCTCCACCCTTGCCTTTTGATCTTGAAGCATGCAAACTTGTTGTTTCAGTAAACCAATCTCATTTTGCATCAGCTTTTTGTCCAACACTAGTTGATTTGTAGCAACCCTCTGCCACTCAAGTATTTCTTCATCAATCCATTTGAAGATTTTGCATCCTCTTCTACCAGATGCAACATCATAGAATTTACAAGCCAAAAATCTTCTACCAGGCTAGGGTTTTTAGTAGTCCACGATTGTCTCTAATTTTGGTGGAATGCCACAACTACACTTGTTGGGATGATATTGCATACATGAGTGGTATGATGAACTCGACATCCTACCATTAACAATGTCAATTAGTTATAAAAAGTACTAAAAACTGCTTCACAATTCAATCTTTAATCCTAAGTGACCTAAACCATGGACTCAATTGAATCGCAAAACCCTAGAAATCGAAACCCCCAAATTCGATTGAACCCATAAACCCTAATTACAATCAGAAATTGAAACCCTTATTCTTTAAATTGCATTCAAGTAAAACTTGTAGACAAATGCGAAAAACAATAATATAGAAAATAAGTGTGAAAGATTACCTGATTTTTTGTTCAATTGCTTGAATTCTTGAATCTAATATTTCTAATTGAGAAGAGAGGGAAAATTAAGAAGCAAATGAAGAGGAGAGAGAAAAGGTTGTTAGGGGGAACTAGGGAAGTAATTTAGGTGGGAAAAGTGAACTGCTGGGCCCCACTAACGTCTAATATGGACGGAAAACGTTATTGGGTTGTGCTACCCAAACATTTTCCATCTTCCAGGTAGTTGTAAACAAATAAAAAAAAAATGGGTAGTTGTTAACAAAACACCCTATCTTCCGGGTAGTTCTAGACAACATTTCCTATAAATTTTTGTTATTTTGTTTTAAAGGTATGTTATTTCACTTAATAAGGGAGTATCATGAGCATGATACTCCAGTAGTACCTAATACTAATTGAAACCGATAATATCAGTCAAAATTACTAAAGTACCCCTTTTGGACTCCATCCCAAATCAGTACAATTCAATTTGCTCTACTCGTGTTGACTTTTTACAAAAACAAATTGGACTATGTAAAAGATTTGAAAAATTGACATAGACAAAATTTTTTACTACTTTTTTTCCCTCTAAGGGAAGAACATTTCTTCACGCCCTTCCCACAAGGCCACAACTTCACAGTTGTTGTGTACCATGCCAAAAATATTAAATTTTTCTATATTCTACCTTCCCAAAATCTAATTTTAGAAGTTTGAAGAAGCTAAATGGAGAAAGGAGCTTTCGTCATTTTCTTTCTTATTTGTTTTATTTTGGTCTTTAATTATCTTCACAATGTTTCTGCTAATAATGAAGGTAAACATCTCTTGCTCTTAATAATTATGCACGACTGAATTTGACTTTCTTATTGCTATGTTGTTTGATTAAGCAATGACTGCAGTATCATAAGAGGAGTTTAGACTTGTGAGCATTGTAATTGAAGCTGGTATGGGACTATGGCATATGGGTATGACTTTGATGTGTATTGGGTGGGTCGTCACGGGTGTGGTTGTGTAAAGTCATACTCGCTATAGATAATGTATAGGTGGTGAACAAATATCGTCTTTTTCAATGTCAAATTCGAGTGGGCTCAATTGAGCTTCGTAAATGGGTATAGATAGGGTTGAGCAAATAATCAAATTGATAGATAATATACTACGTATATGTTATTCCGAAATCAGAATTGGACCCTTAACAATTGGTTTTGGATAGATTATTGGCCCAATAGTAAAAATTGGATAGAGATCAAGCTACTAAGCTAGCATAGTAGCATAGTTATAAATAATTATGCACAATCAAACATCACAATTTATCAAGGATGAACATTTAACTATCTTGCTCTTAAAGTCTTAATAATTATGCATGACTGCTAACTTCATGTCAATCCTTGTTTCAAACCACTAAAACAAAAGCCTGTGTAAAAATTGAAATGCAAGAACAAAATGAGAAAATTAGCCATTTTATTTTTTATTTTTTTATTTTTTTTTTACATTTTTTAGATTTTCTGATTTTCGAAAGCTTTCACTTCAATGCTCAACTGTTGTAGCCTCTGATGATGCCTTCATGCCTATGGTACAGTTGAAGCTCTAAGCGCATTCAAATCAAATTTGGTTGATCCTGATGGGAAATTAGACAACTGGAATCCTAGCCTTGCCGGTCCTTGTACATGGCACTATGTTCATTGCACAGATGAAAGTGTCACTGAACTGTAAGTTACTCGGACTGAATACACCGGATGAAAATTTTTGCTGTTTATTAGCAGTAACTAGTTATCTTAACCTCTTGGTTCAGTGACCTTGGAAGTTTTAAATTAACTGGTCAACTCGTTCCACAACTTGGCTGGCTCTCAAATCTCAAAGAATTGTAAGTTCAGCTTTTACAGCAATTTTTTACTAGTTGTTTCCTCGGTTACTCTTGTTCTACTCATCGATTTCTAATGGTTTCTTGCTATCTATATGATTTTTAGTCTAAGAGTTGTGCTGAATGCTAATTACATTTTTAGTTTAGCGATGAGGGTGTGAATTGTTTTGAGTCACAAACTCTAGACTGTAGTTATTTTTCGAAACATAGTGTGCTGCACAGTAGTAAGTCTAACAACAATAGCAATGACAAGAACACAGTGTGATCCTTGATATAGCTGCTTCGAGGACTGTATGTTAGCTATTTTTTTCAAGACGGAACAATAATGCATATTGAGAAGCATGTTATCTATTTGTGTTGACTGTTTAGATACAAGGTTGCATAATCTGAACCTTTTAAACCCGCGATATTGTTGTAGCACTGGATTCTATAATTTAAGGCATGCTCAGCACTTCTGCATTTAAGTTATTCAAGTTCATGTATATTGTTGTAGCACTGGAATCATGTAAACAATATACTAAAGTTCTTAGCCACATAGAAGTTAATACTAATACAACAAACCTTCGGAGCAAGGAAACACAGGAAAACTCTGAATTATTTCAAAACTGTGAATTAATATAGTGATGCAAGTTTGGGTTTGGTGATGCAAATTTGCATAAAATCATCAAACTCTGAATAATTTCAAAACTGTGAATTATTAGTTGAACCATGTGTAATTGGTGAGTAATATTCTTACAATATTATGGCTATGCTAGAGGCTGAAGAAAGGTGACATGATATTTCTTATTGCCAAAGTTGGAGTCACATATGGTGGCTTATATTTAATTTCATTCAATTCTTCAGTATCAGCAAATACAGTATATGCCTGAGAACCAATATAATGACTTTATTATGTTCTTTTAAAAATGGAACTTTGCATATAGTTCTGAATGTTTGGGATTAAATTTCACTTCTATTGATAATCATAGTTAAGGCATTTTGATTATCATAAGGCATATTTTACATTTCTAGCTAACTGCTATTTCTACAGTGCTTATTATTTCCTGGTTAATTCATGACTCTTTTTCTTTGTTTGGAAGGGCACTCTACAACAACAATATAACAGGTACAATACCACCTGAATTGGAGAATTTGGTGAACTTGAAGCGTTTAGATCTTAGTTTGAACAATCTTACGGGTCCTATTCCAGATACTCTGGGAAATCTCCTTAATCTTCAAAATTTGTATGTATCCACTATACACCCTCTCAAGCACCCTTTTGTTTTAACATATTAGTTACTTTGTCTTCTCATTTTGGTGACTTTCATTGCACTGAAAACTTCCTCTAAATTATGTTATGATCCATTGCAAGGTATGGGACTTTAGTCCCACATCGGTCTTATGAGGGGGCTGTTGTTGGGTTTTATACAGGATAATGCGCCCTCCTCCCTTTGAGCTAGCTTTTGGGGATGATTATCTTGTAGTCCTGTATCAAATTATGACTAATATCATTGCTAGTTGTGAATAAAACAAGCATTATTTATAAAGTATAAAAATTCATCTCCTTCAAATATAACCTATCAATTTATTAAGATGAGGGCAAAACTTTTAGGAAGGACTATCCTTAAACTCATTAGAGTACAATTAAATTTAGTCACTAGCTATTTAGTATTTACAAACTTACAAAACTTCTTTGCTTTATAACATGTTACACATCTCATTCTTATCCTAACTAAGCAGCTTGAGTTCTCTTCACTTCGGCTTTTATACATGGGACTTTCTGCTTCCATAGTGCTTTGTTTTCTTGCCATCCAGACCTTGTACGCGGTGACTGCTATTCCTGCATTCAGATCACTTCTTGTTTTTCTCCCACTGTAGCTTTTCACCCATCTATTTATAGTTGCTGCAATCTGTAAGTTTTTATTATCTGTGTTAACACCTATCCATATAAGTATCTTGTGCACACGGTCTTGATGCAGTGGCATTCAAAATATATGTGATTGTGAGACTCAGTTTGGTCACCACAGATCAGGCAGTAGTCTTCACTGAAGATGCCAGCTTTAACAAGTCTATCCCTTCCGCCAATTATTAATGACATACTGCATTAATTCGTCCTTAATTGAATCAAGTATCATTGTGATCACAGTAAAGATGTTAATTATATGATTAATTGATACCTTATTTATTTTGATATTGTCATGAAATTCTCTGAAGGGTATTCATTAATAGTTTTATGTATGACTAGGTGGGATTATTGTGATAAATTTTTCAAGGAAAAAGGCCAAAATCTAGGATGAAACATCAAAGAGAGGTGAATGAGATATTTTAAGAGGTTATTCGATGAATGTGAGGTGGTTGTACTGAGGGACGATAGGAGTATATGAGAAGATTTTAGAAGAATTGAAGAATGGAGTAGACAAGGAACCAAAGAAAATGATGAATCTAATATGTTACTTCAGATGGTGTTTTTGTTTAGGATTGGAGGTATGAAATGATTTAATTGCCCGCTTGTGTTGCTTCGTGCTCACATGCCCCTATTCCGCACAAGGCTAGCTTTCTTGCCGCCAAAGGCTAGAGCGTGCCACACGTTCCAATCCCCAAATCCCAAACCGTGACAGTTGGTAACAGAGCTAGGTTCTAAACCTCATCGCAAGGAACCCGTGTAGGCACCGAGGAAGGCCACACATGGATGGAATTCGTATAAGAAAGGCTCGCTTGGCTCAAGGAGAAGGCAGACGAATGGTCCCAACTCCAAGTCATTGTGCACGAGCAAGCCGAGCAAATTGTGAAATTGATGAAGGATAGAGATGCGCTCCACGAGCAATTGAACTTTGCTCAAGAACGAGCCGATGAAGCACTTACAAAGTGTGCTATCCTAATGTGCAATGTGGGCAGAGACGCAAATGGGGTTGGTGGTGAAAATCAAACCTCCCAAACCTTGCGACTACAACGACGCTAGAGATGCCAAAGAAGTTGAGAACTTCCTCTTTGACATGGAGTAGTATTTCCGAATATGTCGACCAAAAGGTGAATGTTGCCATCATGTACTTGTCGGATGATGCCAAATTGTGGTGGCGCACTAATCATGTCAACATTGAAGTAGGGAGAGCAAAGATTGATACATGGGCGGAGTTCAAGGAGGAACTCAAAGAACAATTCTACCCTGACAACACAAACTTTGTTGCTCGGATGAAGTTGCAAGAGTGCCGCCAAAAGGGATCTCTTCGCGACTATGTGAAGAAATACTCTGCGATAATGTTGGACATCACAGACATAAATGAGAAAGATCGTGTGTTAAACTTTTTAATGAGTTAAACGAATGGGCATATCGAGAGATTTTAAGGCAAAAGATTGACACCCTTGCTGCTATGTGTGCTGTTGATATATTGATGGACTACTCAGTCAGGAAATTCTATCAATCCGAGAAACTACGATAGCTCGGCTCCAAGCTCTAAAAGGGGTATAGAGGTCAGCTCTCGAGTATCGTCCAACACTATTGATGGATACCAAAGAAGAACTGGGGGATGTAATGCTCAAAATTCAACATGGACCCCCTCCCACAGCTCCGGAAACTCTAAGGTCGTCACCTCCTCGGCATACACAAAATCGCTAATTTACATACTTTGTCGAGGCTCATATAAATGGTGGGAGTGCAAACACAAAGAAGAGGTTGTCATCAATGTCCATTCAAGGGCCCCAAATGAGAAAGGGAAAATTGATAGACTAGCAGCGATGAGGAGTCCACATATAGGATGGGTTCTATCTACCGAATGAGTGCTAGAGAATGATAGCACCTGAGGAAGAACCAGAAGCTCGATATCTATTAGAATTGCGAGTAATGGAGCTAGAAAAGGAGGCAACATCAAAGAAACAAGCTCGCACTAGAGACCTTGAGAAGCGGGAGACGAAGCCCAATGAGCTGACAACATAAAAAATACACCCTCTCCAAAACAAGAATCAGAAACATTGCTCGAAGCAAGCAACAACGAGCCTAGAGACACTTAGGAGACACAAAAGAGCAACTTCCCAAGAGAAAGGGAGTACAGTTGTCGAGCAAACAATGGAGGTCACGCGTAGGGGATCGCAAAGATAATGGATACCCAAGAGACACCAGCCACAATTGCAAGCTCACCACCATAGTCTTAAGGAAGCATCTCCCCAACAGATGACCGAGGAAGAAACTATCCACCAAAACCCAACAGATGTAGCAACCAAGAGGAAATTCAGAGATGAAGCTCTTAACAAGTTGTTCGAGAATAGCCACCCTAGAGACCAGCTCCTTGACAACAACGAAGATCCAGATATAGAGTCGACGAAGATTCAACAAGCCAGTCGCATTAACGGTGCACCAGAGACTCAAGCTAGATTAGGATTTTCAAATTTTGATTGTAATTTTTGTAAGTCGACGAGGTCATCGACAATTTAAGCGGGAGGGGATGCTAGAATCCCGCTCCTTTTGATGTATTAGATGCCCTTTTAATGCTTTCACAAAGTTTACTTTTTTTTTTTTTTTTTTTTTTTTTTTTTTTTTTTTTTTATAGGCTTGAGATCCCATTATTGTATTGCTGTTAGTGTAGTGTAGTGTTCACCAGGGATTCTCCATGTAAACAAATTAAAGCTCTTTAGAGGGTGAATGATAAATGAAATCTAAAAGCCTTCTATCAAGTGCTGACTTGCTTTTATACTTGTTTGTTGTTAGAAGTTTATAGATACTATGTCTTACTTGCATAATAGATCCCCTCCACACCAACTTGATGCTATAAGAATTCGTAGTTCAGATCCGCTTGTGTCTTCTTTGAAGTTTTGGCTGCCCAAGCCCCGATCACTCGCACTCCTTCGCCAAATAGACGTGAGTGCTCCCAAGATTTAATTTCCCGCTTGTGTTGCTTTGTGCTCACAAGCCCCTCTTCCATACAAGGATAGTGTTCTAACCGCCAAAAGGCTAGAGCGCGCCACACGTTTCGGTGCCCATTGGGTCACCTTGCCTTAGACCCTTCTAAACAGTGAAGGAGGAGCGAGAACTCCATTTATCAAAATAGAAAAGTATGGCACCCAATAATTGTCGATAAAGACTCGAGGAAAACTGAGCTCCGCAACAACATTAAAAAAATCCCTACTCTACAGAATCATAGGCTTTCTGCAAATTATGATTGTAGCCTTTGATGAGCTTTGCGGCAAGAAAAATATTATCTCCAATATGTTTACCGGGTATAAACCCAACTTGAGCAGTATCCACTACTTCATCAATAACAACAATTAACGTAGTAGTGATAATTTTAGAAAAAAGCTTGCAAACAACATTGCAGCAAGAGACTGGTTTAAAATCCTTAACAAAGGAAGGGTTAGGAATTTTAAGGACCAAGGTGATAGTAGTGCAGTCTAGTGAATATCTATATTTCCAGAATTAAAGAAATCAATAACACTGAAATACATACCAGCCTTCGCAAGATGCCAAGCTTTCTTAGAAAACAAAGAGTTAAAACCATCAATGCTAAAGATTTAGAGCTATTGATTCCCTTTAGAGCATTATCAATTTCAAAATGAAAAACAAGCTGAATAAGAAACTGTTGAGCAGACAAACTAAGCAGCTGACCTTTTCTCATAGTAGCCAGGTCAAAAGTAGGAAGCCAAGAAGCCTTGTTCCCAATCAAACCTTTGTAAAAATGAATAATCTCATCTAAAACAACACCCTTGAGTAACACCTGTGTTTAGGCCAAAATCTGATCACTAGATTCGACCAGGTTCAATAGGACAACAACTAGATTAATAAAGATACTAATGATAATGTAGGTTCAATGACTAAGGATTAATAACCCATGAAAGATGAATAAAGGGGGAAGGGAAGAAGAGATGCAAGATGATGACGCAGAAAACCCATAAATAAGGGTAAAAACTGCGGGTGGCAATGAGTCCACCAATATACTAGTTTAAGAATTAAGTACGGGTACAACAGAGGTTGTTTTTTTTTTTTTTTTTTTTTTTTTTTTTTTTTTTTTTTTTTATTTTTTATCAAGAATGAATATGTAATTTAGTGCTAATTGCTAATGGCTATGGAATATAATGCCTAGGGCTCGTATCTTGTGTTTTTATAGTTGTTTTTCATCCTATTTATAATAGGAGAGCCTTTTAAAGTCTTGTAAAAATTTCTTTGATGATTCCTTGAAAGTAGGAGTTAGATTCATGCCACATTTTTCGTGCTCTTATCCATTATCCTTTGACTTGATCTTTGCCAATGGTCAGTTGG